GAATCACCTGGGGGCTATTTTTTTTTTTTTTAAGTCCACCAATTCCTCTTCTCCATTTTTACTTGATTGGTATAGATTGAGGATCGTGCATCAGCAAGCAGTTTTGAAATTGTTTCCAAGTGATTCTTACCTGCAGCCTGGGTAAGAAGTGGCAGGCTTCCTGGATAGTCATTAAGTGAACTGTGGTAAGCACTGACGGAGCAGGATTACCTGCCCTGCTAGGTACCCGAACTACATTTACTTGCTCACAAGTGATTTTTTAAAATGTATGCTCGCATCCCTGCCTTGCTTATTGAAAGTTCCTAATGTTTTTGGTATTTCTTTAATCTTTTTATGTTTTTAACTTTTAAATAAAAGAAGAAAATAAAAGAACTACCAAACAAGATGTAAGTTCATACTGTAAAATTACATAGAGTAATTTTTCAAATTACTAAATTACAAAGATTAGTCCCCACCTCTTTGAAGGAGAAAAAAAGGGAAAGGATAATCCTTTAGTAAGGCTGGGGTGTTTAGGTTTTTTCCAGCATTTTGCAGTTACAAACAGTCTGCAATGAATAACCTTGTGCGTTTGTTATCTTTGTACTGTGAGAGAGGTATGTGTATCTTTAGGGTACTTTTTACAAGCTAGTTTGCTCTGTCAGAAGATAGTACATTTGTAGTTTTGTTAGGTTATTGCCAAATTCCTCTCCTGAAAGTTGTAGCAATTTGTGTGCCCATCAGTAGTAGACAGCCTGTTTCCCTATAGCCTCCCTTTTCTGAAATATGTCATGCTTTAATGTTTCTGTTCTTGGCGTTCTTTGGTTTTAATTTGCATTTATCTGTGGGTTTTAACATCTCATATGTCTTTTGTAAATTGTTTGTTTCATTGTTTTATTTTGTTTTGTTTTTTCTCCCTTCATGTTTAAGTAGTTCTTGATATCAACATTTTCAAAGTATGGTCTGTGGACTCCTGAAGGTCCCTGAAAACTTTTTAGGTTCAAGGGCAAAACTCTTCTTATACATTATGGAGGTATTTCTTATCTTCTTTGCGGTGTTATTATTTGAGCGAAGGTTTAGAAACAATGGTGGTTAAAACTGTGTCAAGGCAGTGGCACCAAACCTTATAATAGTCATTGTCACACACTCATAGATTAAAAGAACAGTTTCAGTTTTATTTAAGAATGACTTGAAACAGAACTACGTCTTACTACTTTCCAACCCTTGAATACACACGTTTTCAGTAGTCTAGGTATGCAAATGGAAAGTGTGCCTAAAGTAGTTCTGCCTTGTACTAAAGTACTTGTGTGATTATTTGAATTGCAGCTGTGTATTGAGTGGGGGATGGAAGGCCAACATCACTTTTACTTGAAGGAACAATTGTTTACTTGAAGGAATGTATGGTTATCCAAACTTGAATATTTGAGAAACATATTTCTCCAAAATGAATGAATACCTTGCTTCAAGGAGAACAATTCTTGATAGTATTTGTTGCTAACAATGAAAACTGATTTTTAAAACAAAAATTAAAATTTGAAAAATTTTTATCTGCCACCATAAGCTCAATAGCTTTTCAGTACTTAAAGACTCTTTTGATAATCTTGATAGTGATATTAACACGTGATTTAAAAATACACCGTGTGGTGAAATGTGGCATCGTTTGGACGATTTGCCTAACTCAGGGAACCAGTATTTTCCAAAAGACTAAGGCATGCTATAATAAAATTTTGCATGGATGAAATATTCAGAGTGTAAAATAGGCCAATAGATATTCATGCAATAATAGAGACAGTTGTTTGATATGGTTTCAAACTGTACATTGTTACTCTCCTTTAGGAAATGTATTAAGTTTTTGGCATAAAATCAAGCATGAATTTTCATAATTACCTTAAAAGGCTACTAAAATAACTCTTCTTTTTCAATGACTGTACATGTGTATGAAAAGCTGGATTTTCTGTGTGTACTTTAACAAAAAGCGACATACTACAGGGTTTGTTACAGTGCATTTTCACAAACTTTGTTTTCTCTTTCAGCGGTGAAACTCAAATTTTGTCAAAGCCTTTTTCAGGATCTTGGAGATAATCATATAATTGTTTTCTTTAGATTTATTAATAGGATGTATTATGCCAGTGGATTTCCTAATACACTAATCTTGCATTCCTGGAATTAATCCCTTTATCATGGAGTATTTATGTAGTGTTGGCCGTTGTTTGCTTATTTTTATTTTGTATTTTGCACTGATAACGAATAAATTATGTTGAGCTGTAATATTGGGGGGTTGGTCATTATCATGGACAGTCATCAAGTTTCAGTGTCAGTATTATACTTGCTTCATAAAAAGAATTTAGAAGCTTTCCTTGGTATCAGTGTTCTGAAACAATACATTGTATTGAGGCTATCTGGATATTGCATGTTTTGGCACAGTTCCCTTGGGAAATCATTTGTACATGGTGCCTTTTTGTGGGATAATTCCCTCATAAGTTTTGCTGCTTTTTTCTCCAGAAATTGGGCCATTTAAGCTTTTTATTTATAATAGGGTCAATTTTGGCAATCTGTATTTCCTTAAGGAATTATGTTTCATTTAGGTTTTTAAATTTCTTTGAATTTGTTCGGTATTCTCTTAACGTTTTCTAATGCTGTACTAATGCCGTACTAATAGTCATTTGTCTCTAATCATTTATTTTTGAAGTTTTAGTCCTGCTTTTAATTTGAAATTTGGATATTGTCTTTGAATTATGATTGAGTGTATGGTTTTGTGTACAGTAGTCCCCTCTGAGCCGTGGGGCACATGTTCCCCCAGTCGATGCCCGAATTCACGGATAGTGTCAAACCCAATTTTGCTGTTAATTGGAGCACATTTCTGTTCCTGTCTTCCACTCAGAAGTTTAATGCCTTTTCCATTTTAAATAAGCACTTATCATGCACTGTGGCTAAACCCTTGCAATTTTAGGTGTGATAGCAAAACTAGCACAAATTTCGTTTTCCTTCACGGCTTCACTAATAGGAGATTCCTTCTCCTTGTAGATCTTAGTAACCTCAGCACATGATTTTTTTTTCCCCTGTATTAAGTGGAGGACTTTCACCTTCTCTCGAAGGAAACACTTTACAGCTTTTCTTTGGCATATCTGAATTGCCAGCATCACTACTACTGCACTTTGGGGTCATGATTAAGTAAAATGAGGGTGACTTGAACACAAGCATTGTGTTACCTCTCCACAGTTGATCTCATAACTGTGGCAGCTACTGAGTGACTAATGGACGGGGAGCCCCTATGTCATGGAGACCCTGGACAAAGGGATGATTCACGTCTTAGATGGGATGGAGCAGGATGGCAAAAGATTTCATCACACTACTCCTAACGGTGTGCAGTTTAAATCTTACCAATTGTTTATTTCTGAAGTTTTCCATTTAAAATTTTCAGACTGCAGTTGACCTGAGGTAACTGAAAGCAAAGAACATGAAACCGACGATAAGGAAGAACCACTGTAGTTGGTCTATTTTTGTTGTATTAAATTTGGGGAGGATATATAGAGAAGCAGATTCAGATGGTTGCCATTGTCTTTAGTTACTCAGAATTTTCCCTGTTGGTTATTATTTTCTTTTTTCATATTAACTTCTTTTTGTATTCGCTTTATTGACATATAATTCACATACCATACAATTAAAGTATGCAATTCATTGTTTTTTAGCATGTTCCGAGTTGTGTAACCATCACCAGAGTCCATTTTAAAACATTTTCATTGCTGGGGGGCAGGGGATGAAACTCCCATTGACCTATCACCCCCCCAATCCCTGTAACCCTAGACAACCACCAATCAAGTTTTTGTCTTTATAGATTTGCCTTTCTGAGCATTTTATATAAATGGAATAATAGAATCTATTAACCTTTGTGACTAGTTTCTTCACCTTAGCATGACATTTTCAAGGTTCATTCGTGTTACACTATGTATGAGTACTTCTTTCCTTTTTACACACAATGTTTCATTGTGTGGATATATACCATGTTTTATCCATGCATCAGTTGGTGGACACTTGGAATAGTTGGTATTCATTCTTAAGAATTGAGTTTTTTTTTCTTTTGCTACTTCTTTAGGCTTTGGGATGGGAGGAAAGGTGATGTATGCACTATTCGTGGTGAACATAGTCTCCTTTGTTGCGGACTGGAAAGCTGAGGGAGGAAGTTGTTACCTTTGTCCTCAGGCAGTTTGAATTGTACAGTTTTATACAAAAACATGTATTTCTGGTTTAATGATTCTATAGTCTTAAGAAAATGTATAATGTCTCCTTAGACTACTCTAAGTACTTCATATCCTTTCTAGGGAATAGTGATTTCTTTGAGATTAGGTGATTTTTTAACAACCTGAAGATATTTTGAATTTTTTATATACTGGCCTGTCCTGAGTCATTGTGGTAAAGATTCTTGGCTCTTTCAGAAGTGTGTGGCTTATTGTAATTCAGTTTTTAAAAAAGGTAATTTTACAATGTTTGTTCAATATGGCTAATGTACACCTTCTTTTGTTTAATGTGCACAAGACGTTATATTCTACAGAGATTTTTAGAAGTTTGCAGAAGTTGTTGAAATAACTAATACTTGATTTTCAAAGCAATTGATATTTTATGTAAAACGGCAAATGTTATATATGCTGGATAAGTCTGTCATCTTCTAAATCAGTTGCCAGGATGAATGATGATCACACTGGGCACTGCCAGTCTCCTCAGGACCTCTTCTGATCATCAAAAATGAAGTGAGGATTTCAGTGTTAATACGTTTTAAATGTCTTTTGGTTTTTAAAGAACATGTATAGAGTTGGCGATTTTTAATATTCTGTTACGTCCAGTGGTTTTTAGAGCATACATTCTTGTACAAGGATAATTCTAACAGGTAACCATGCAGGTGAGTGTTTATCAATCACAAATGTATTAAGATTGTAATTTTTGTATTTCGACCTCTCTGGATTGTAGAGTATGATATAACAATTACTTTTATCCTTAATAACAATATTTTACTATAATTTTTACTTTAGGCTCCTGGATTTGGATTTGGCATTGCAATATCTGGTGGACGAGATAATCCTCATTTTCAGAGTGGGGAAACGTCAATCGTGATTTCAGATGTGCTGAAAGGAGGACCAGCTGAAGGACAGCTACAGTAAGAGTGCTGCTTATCGTGGGCACCTGTGCGACAAGCAGTGTTCCTGTCCTCGGGCACTGGCCTACTGTCTTACACTGGCTTAGTGTTTTGCCATATTCATACACCACCTGTGCCATGGTTCATATATTTTTTCCTTAAATTAACATATGTTTACTTAAGAGAGAAACTGGCCAGGTGTGGTGGCTCACTCCTTATAATCCTAGCACTTTGGGAGGCTGAGGCAGGGGGATCACTTGAGACTGGGAGTTCGAGACCAGCCTGGACAATGTAGTGAGATCCCCATCTCTACAAAAGAAGTTTAAAAATCAACTGGGCATGGTGGCATGTGCTTGCAGTCCCAGCTACTTGGGAGGCTGAGGCAGGAGAATCCCTTGAACTTAGGAGTCTGAGGCTGCAGTGAGCCATGATTGCACCGCTGTACTCCAGCCCAGGTGACAGAGCAAGACCCTGTCTCCAAAGAAAATAAAGGAAGCTTTATCCCTATTAAAATTGGAAAGCTAGTATCACTCACTTTAAATAGAATGTGTAACTGTAAAAATAGTGAAAAAGAAAATTTATAACTCCATTTTGGATAGAATCTAGCCTTCAGAAGCCTCTCTTCCCAAGTCTTGCACCCTTTTTGTTCCATATGAAGATTAGTTAGCTAAAGAAAAACACAAAATATACTAGCAAAATAATGGCACTACAATTAGAAGTATTAAAAGAAAATTAAAAGATGAAAAACTGAAAAGGTAAAAGGAAATAGGATTTCCAGCTCTATGACTTAGTATCATTTAATGCCCTGTTACTGTACTACCAAGAATCATTTCATGGATGTGATATCTGTTCAGTCTTCTGGGGAAATACTTTGTTAATGACTTAAAAAAATTAAGGACCTGTGGTTAATTACTTCTTAAACATTCTGTGGAGAAACCTGAAAGTAAGTCAGTTGACATTATTTTATTGATCTGAAGAGAAATTGATTAATTGGCTCATAATTAGAATACATTTTAGAAGTACCTATCTTGAAGATATCATCATAAACTTACCAGAATGTTTTTCTCTAACGTGTTATTTTGTGTCCTTTTCCCCTTAGGGAAAATGACCGAGTGGCAATGGTTAACGGAGTTTCAATGGATAATGTTGAACATGCTTTTGCTGTTCAGCAACTAAGGAAAAGTGGGAAAAATGCAAAAATTGTAAGTATCTTTTATCTTTAATTTAGTAAAGGTACCCCTTTACATTTCTGGTATTTGAATTTATCCTTCCCATTTAAGAAAAGGAAAACAAACGATAGTTCCAGGTTAGTTGTTTACACTGAAGAGTGTTTCTTTTAACAGTAGTGTGGTTTGTCACTGGTATGTGTATTTTCTCAGTTTAGATACCAGGAATTTTTTCAGTTGAAAAAGGAAAGGGGACAGTTGAACAGTTAGCTCTTTTAGGCTTAATGTTTCCTCCTCTTTTCCTCCTCTACAGTCACGCGCTGCATGACAGTGTTTTGGTCAACAACAGCCGCATATTTGACAGTGGTTCCATAAGATTATAGTACTGTATTTACCTTTACCGTGTTTAGATACACGCATAGTTACCATTGTGTTACAGTCGCCTACAGTATTCAGTACAGGAACATGCTGTATAGGCTCGTAACCGAGGAGCAATAGGCTATGCCATGTATCCTAGATGTGTAGTAGGCTATACCATCTGGGTTTGGGAAGATACGTTCTGTGATGTTCGCACAAAGACAGAATTGCCTAACAATTCACTTCTCGTAGTATATCCCCAATGTTAAGTGACGCATGACGGTACTGAAGTTAGATTGGATCTTGGCATGTGTCAGTTTGAAATAGATGGCCCTATTTTCCGGTACAAGATGAGTTTACCTGGCAAGTTTTGCATTGTCCCTTGAACACATGTATGTCAGCAGCTACTTTCTTTATTACTCTGATAGTTTGAGGAGAGGGAAAGTCTAAGATTGTTTTTTGCAGAGTTGTTCAGGGTGCATTTAATGTTACTGTTTTACTGTATAGCTAGAGTCTTTGTTTCATATTTCTCTGAGAAGTCTACTTTTTATTAAGGGAAAAGAAATTTAGTTAACTCTTGATAACTGGCCTCAAATCACAGTTAAAACTTTGTAAATGTAACACAGTAGATTTAATGTAAAAGTTTTATTTATTTTATTTTTTTGAGACAGTCTCACTCTGTCACCCAGGCTGGAGTGCAGTGGTGTGATCTCAGCTCACTGCAACCTGCACCTCCCAGGTTCAAGCACTTCTTGTGCCTCAGCCTCCCAAGTAGCTGGGAAGACAGATGCATGCCACCATGCCCGCCTGGCTAGTTTTTGTATTTTTAGTAGAGATAGGGTTTTACCATGTTGGCCAGGCTGGTCTTGAACTCTGACTTCAAGTGATCCGCCTGCCTTGGCCTTCCAAAGTGCTGGGATTACAGGCATCAGCCACCACGCCCATCCAAAAGTCTTACTTAAAATGATACACTTTTAGGAACACAGGAGCCACTTCACCCACTTTGCTCCTCCGCTGTTTTTATCCCATCCTGCCTCTGAAAGGACTAATGAAGGTAGCCTTGAAGCCTCAGCTGAGGTATACAAAGCTGAAGAGTCTGGGTGGCTGGGTGGTATGCCCTGCTTTGTCCGTTGAGAACCTTTCTGTCTCCCAGCAGATGCTCAGAACCACAGCAGACCTGATGGAAAGGATAAGGGTGGGTAAAGGGAGGTCTGCTTTTGAGTTTTGGTGTCTGGGAGTGGTGGTAAAAGCTGAAAAGGGTATTCCCTGAGACTGCACCCAGCAGTTGCTCGGCCCTCCTGCCCTGTGTAGGCTGCCTTGCTGTGTGGCTTGTTTCACACCAGCATCATTGCTGGTGAGATGAGAGTTCTCTCATACTGCAGTAGGACCACTGTTTGGTTATGGCGTTGTTCCAGAGAACAAACATCTTTTATTTTGTATGTTTTCACAATCTCATTGTAGTCCATAGATTTACAACTGTAATGTTACTTTAAAATTGCAGTTAATTAACAGACTGCCTAGTGGATGATAAAGTTTTTAAACAGTTTTTATAACAAGAGGTTGCACTGTTTACAGAAGCAAATTGCTATTTGTTTGTTTTAAAACAGCAAATTGCTAATAGTTTTTTTGGGTGTGATCAGTTGAGTGAGCTTCAGTGTCTTGCTTTAGCTGCTGACCCTGAGCACCATCCTTATTCTGCATAGTGTTCTTCAGGTGGCTTGCTGCACATTCTAAGGCCAGCACCTCGGGAAACTTGTTTTTTATCCCTTGTATCAGGTGTGGTGAGTTTCATCCATACTTTCAACTTTTTAAGCCCTCCATTCCTGTGTAATCTTGAGCTGTTTTGTTTTTCCATGCAAAATATTTGGCACACATACACTACATTGATAATACATCCAAGAAAGTTGTATTGCTATACTCCAGACTTTTCCACATAGAGATGATATTATAAGTAGGTCTGAAATCAATAATATATTTGTAATAGCACATTTTTGGCCCAGCATGTAAGGAGAAGGATTTAGGGGCTGTTCAAAGCTGTGTCAGTTGGAAAGGAGTTTTTTACTCTGTGGTTAAAGGCTGTAGGGGCTTTGGGCAGAACGGTGTTTTAATCAGCAAAAAGCAGTTGTTGATTTCTGCATTTTGACAGTTTCAGTCATGTCATTAATTTAAAGCTTTCATTGCCGTATGACTCTTAGAATAAAATGCCTGTGTCTGAGAGTGTGGCCTTTCATTATAAGATGTCTTTTTTTAACCTCATCCCTGGACATAACCAGAGCGTCAGAAACACTCAGGTCATGATATATGTGATGTTTATTTCCCCCAGTTCTGAACTCTACCAGATCCTCTTCCCTGCTCTCCGTTCTACTGATCTCTGTCTTCTCTCCTGTGCTCCTCCATTTTCTCTCCTCAGACTATCAGAGTAATAAGGAAAATAGCTGCTGACATACATGTGTTCAAGGGGCAATGCAAAACATGCCCAGTAAACTCATCTTATACCAGAAAATAGGACCATGTATTTCAAACTGACACATGACAAGATCCAGTCTAACTTCAGTACAATCATGCGTCACTTAACATTGGGGATATATTATATATCCCCAATATCCTGTATAATTTTACTAAAATTCTGAACATAGTTAAAAAGCGTTATAAAGTGGATGAAGAGGCAAAAACACCTTCCTAGCGAAAACCTCTGTGAGCATTTCAGAACAGTTCTGTGTTGCTTCATGACAGGGATAGGTCTTGAGAAGTGCGTCATTACATGATTTCATCCTTGTGTGACCATCAGAGTGTATTTACACAAACCTGGAAGGCATAGCCTCCGACACACCTAGGCTATATGGTTTAGTGTATTGCTCTCCGGCTGTAAATCCCATACAGCATGTGACTGTACTCAATACTGTAGGCAGCTGTAAAACAATGGTATGTGTCTGTCTAAACATGGAAAAAGTACACTAAAAATATATATAACAGATAAAAAAAATTATATGCCTGTTTAGTGCACTTACTATGAATGGAGCTTGCGGGACTGGAAGTTGCTCTGAGTCAGCGAGTGAGTGGTGAGTGAATGTGAAGTCCTAGGACATTACTGTACACTACTGTAGACTTTGTAAACACTGTACATTTAGGCTGCACTAAATTTATTTTTAATGTTTTAATATTTTTAATGTATTTAATATTTTGTAAATTTATAAAATTTATTTAAAAGTCTTCTTTCTTCAATAATAAACCTTAGCTTACTGAAACTTTTTTAACCTATATCTTTCTAAGTTTTTGACTCTCGCAATAACACTTAAAACACAAACGCATTGTACAGCAGTACAAAAATGTTTTTTTCTATTTAAAATTTTTTCTTTTTGTTTGTGTTTTTTTAAGACACGGTTTCACTCTGTCACCCAGGCTAGAGTGCAATGGCGTGATCTTGGCTCACTGCAACCTCCACCTCCCTGGTGCAAGTGATTCTCGTGCCTCAGCCTTGGGATTACAGGCACCCACTACCACGCCCATATTTTGTATTTTTAGTAGAGACAGGGTTTTGTCGTGTTGGCCAGGCTGGTATTGAACTCCTGGCCTCAAGTGATCTGCCTGCCTCGGCCTCCCAAAGTTCTGGGATTACAGGCGTGAGCCACTGCACCTGGCCTAAAATTTTCTACTTTTCAGTTTTTAAACTTTTAGTAAAATCTAAGACACAAGCACACACATTAGCCTAGGGCTACCCGGGATCGGGGTCATCAGTGTCACTGTCTTCTACCTCCACAGATCGTCCTAGTGGGAAGTCTTCAGGGGCAGTAACATGCATGGAGCCATCATCTCCTATGACAACAGTGCCTTCTTGTGGAACACCTGAAGGACCCGCCTGGGGCTGGTTTCCCAGTTAACATTTAAAAAAAAATAAGTAGAGGGAGTACACTCTGGAATAATGATAAAAAGTTTAGCATAGTAAATACATAAACCACTGACATAGTCATTATCAAGTATTGTATTCTGTACCTATTATATCTGCTGCACTTTTATTCCACTGGCAGCATAGTAGGTTTGTTTACACCAGCATCACGACAAACAGCACTGCAGTGCACCCATGACATTATGACCCTGTGGCGTCACTAGGTGATAGGAGATTTTCAGCTCCATTGTAGTATTATGGGGCCTCTGCCGATGTGTTGTCCATTGTTTCACATGGTGCATGACTGTGTATGTATCCACATGGCCATGCAGCATTTCACTCTGCATATATATTTATCGAACTCACTCATTCACAGGCATTTCAGTGTCCAGTCCACGAGTTTTTTAAAATTCGGCTGCGAGAATCATATTGCTACCTACTTGCTTAGTTAATTTTTAGAATAATTTTCTAAGAGTGGCTTTTCAGAGTCAAAGGGCCTGAATGACTTTTGATGTATGTATTGCCAGTTTGTCCTTCTTCAGAAAATCAGTAGGCTATCGAGAGTTCAGTTTTCAACACGTCTTAAATCTTGGCCTGATAAAAAAGTGTTGGAAATGAAACATTTAAAATCACAAGTGGATTTGATCCTCTCATGGTGTGTTTACTACGCATTTGTTTTTTCATTTACCTGTTCATATCCATTGCATTTATATGGTGGTTATGGTCATACTAGGGTGTTTTATGTAGTCAGATTATTAACCTTTTGTCGTACGTACCTCATGTGTTGTTATTCTCTTTGCTTTTGTGACTGTAAGTTGTTTGTGTTTGTTGTTTTGTATCATTTTGTTACAACATTGAAATGTTTTCATTTTTATTTTGTCATGTCTGTCAGCCTTTCGCTTTATTGGTTCTGCCTTGGTGTCATGCTTCCAAAAGCCTTTTAATTGCAAAAGCCTCTCTCTTGTATTTTATTCTAGTACTTATATGGCATCATTTTGTTTTATTTTACATTTGAGACTTCAGTTAAGCTAAACTGTTTTGAAGTACTCGTTTTTTTCCTAAAAATTTTGATTCCAAATTTTTCATAGTGTTAAAATCAAGCATAGTTGTTACACCTACTAATTACTATTCATGTTTATAACTGTTAACTCATAAGTAGAGAATCACAGTAGGACTGGATACCTTTCAATAAGTAAAGCACCTACTAGGTGCAAGCATTGCATTACATGTACAGTTAAATGCATGGGAAGGAACTTCTCAAAGAACTCGAATCTTAGTGGGCTGGATGGATGTACATACTGATAACTGTATAATGCATGTCATCTCAGGTTAATAGGTCAGGTACAGTAGAATCCCAAAGAGGTGGCACTCTTACAGGAATGATAGGGAAAGCCTTGAGTGCTCATCTGCTCAACTTCGTTTTTGTTTATTACTAGGGAGGAACTGAACATTAAAATACCAATACCAGGTATTGCTTCCAATATAACATGTTGGAAATTAAGTAGACTTGAGATGTAAAAGCAGACAGCTAGCATTAGGAATGCTTTACAGAAAATATTAACTGATAAGGACTTCAGCTGTGGGTTGCTCCAAGATGAGAAGGGCAGCTTTTCTCTTTCAGTTCATAACAGGGCATTGGCTGTCCTCCTTTTCACATGCTGGCCTCTGCTGCTTCTCATCCTTGAGCTTCAGCGTTGTTTCCTCAGAATGGCCCTCTGCTTAGGCCCTCGTCCTGATTCTGAACCAGCACCTGATAATAATAATAATAGTAGTAATAGTAATAGGAAGCAGCAGTATTAAGTGTAGAGCAGCCCTTTGAAGAAGTTTAGCCATATAGAGAAGAGATAAGGTGATAACATGCAGGTGAATAGGAAGACAGAGAAATAGAAGATGAATTGGGAGAGCTTAGTAGGTAGAGGACAGATTTTAGGTAAATAAAGCGATTGAAGTTTCAGGTAAACTGGAGTATGGAAATTGATGAAGAAAAAATCTTAGAGGTGGGTAGGGATGAGAATGAGAGCTCAAATACAAGGGTTTCATTCACCCGGGAAGAAGATCGCCTTGGTCTTTGAGGCCAGAAGGAAGGAGGACCAAATAAACGAGATACTGAAAAAATTTAGGAGGGCAGGGGGAGTAAAATGGCACTGCTAGCCTTAAAGCAGGCTGAGTGGCTGGGATCTCGAAGAATGGTTGTAGAATATCTACATTAGCAAATTCCATAGAGAGGCAGCAAGATGTAGATGAAAGGATTGCTAAACAAGAGCAAGACTTCTGTAAAATGAATTTACAGAGGGCCTAATCAGCAAAGTGTGGAAGTGAAGGTAATAATAGGACTGGAGTTTGTTATGGCAGCTGATTGAGGGGTCAAGAGAAAGTCATTTAAATACAGCAGCAGGATGTCTCATGCCAACTTGGGGGAAACGTGAGTGAAACCAGGACGGAACTGATGAACTGAAAATAAGAGAGGATGAAGGAATTGGAAATAAGATAGTGAAAAGTTGCAGTAGCTCACGGTGTCTGACATAGAAGACAAGGAGTGATACACAAGAAGATCCTGCGGAACTACAGTGAGGTCAAGTGTATACTATTGTAGGAAGGCAAAGTGTAGTCCACAGATTACAGAGCCACTCAGTCAGCAGGTGTGATACATGTAGATCTTCAGCTTGCAGAGAATGAAGGAAATAAGTGGACAGGCAGTACAGAGCCAGTTACCACAGTCATTGAGAAAAGAATGCCAGAGGGAAGAATTTGCACCTAGACCGGAAGTACACATTGGAGAGATCCAGAGACTGAAAGCAGTTTGTGTTGGTGAAGTACAGCTGAGTTAATTAGCTCCAACATATTATTGAATGTTAGTGTGGCTGTAGAATAAATTCATCTCTTAGAAGTCTGGGGCAATGATGGGCTTTGATACTGATACAGTCTAAAATGTTTAAGGAAGCAAGTTGGACGTGGAAGTTTGCTGTGGTTTTGGTAGCACCTAGAGTATATTTGGTGGCATTAGAGTACAGTACTGTCCTTTTTGTTCAAACCACCCAACAGTTGTTAGTTTCCCTGTAAGCTTGTGATTATTACACCAGGAAGATCTTTCTGTGTGAAGTAAATAAAGAGATTTTTAGGCCCACCCTTTCTTATTTGTGCTTAACTAGATCTGTTCATCAGGAGAGCAGAAAACACAGCCTTTATAGAAATGTATTCCTTAGCAATTTGTTGTAGTGGTTTGTGTATTGTTTCTTGCTGGTTCATAATACGGGGTGAGATGTGTAATGTTTCTTTCTCTTTGGAACTGAACATACATATATGAAAATCAGTCAACTTATTTTTTAACCTTTTTAACTTGCAGACAATTAGAAGGAAGAAGAAAGTTCAAATACCAGTAAGTCGTCCTGATCCTGAACCAGTATCTGATAATGAAGAAGATAGTTACGATGAGGAAATACATGATCCAAGAAGTGGCCGGAGTGGTGTGGTTAACAGAAGGAGTGAGAAGATTTGGCCGAGGGATAGAAGTGCAAGTAGAGAGAGGAGCTTGTCTCCGCGGTCAGACAGGCGGTCAGTGGCTTCCAGCCAGCCCGCTAAACCCACCAAAGTCACACTGGTGAAATCCCGGAAGAATGAAGGTAGTTTCTGCCAACTGTTGCTGTTATTTTCACATGAAACTTTAAAACTAATTTTAGTGAGAAGTACAGTTGCTGTCTCTTCATGTCTTTGCTTTGTTGTCTTTGTGTTTGTGTTCTATCACTGTAAGTCAAGTCCTGTTATGGCAGGCTTCAGGGACTGTTCATTTTCCCTGTTGGAACAGATAGCACTTCAAGTGAATGGTCCAGGGGTTGGCTTTCAGATTTGTCCTGATGAGAATAACCAAGTACAAATTATGCTAACAAGAAATGTCACACCATCACCAAATGAAAATTCAGTGTTTTTCTTACCTGTTAGTAATGTAATCATGGAGAGAAATCTTGGGGGAGGGTGGGGGTAGGGGTGGTAGTGGTGGTGGTGATGATGCTGTTGTTGTTGTTACAAGGTCTGGCTCTGTCACCCAGGCTGGAGTGCAGTGCCACAATCTCAGCTCCCTGCTACCTCTGCCTTCTGGGCTCAAGCAGTCCTCCCACTTCAGCCTCCCTGGTAGCTGGAACTACAAGTACATGCCACCATGTCCAGCTAATTTTTTCATTTTGGGTAGAGGCAGGGTTTTGCCATGTTGCCCAAGCTGGTCAGCTCAAGCAGTTCACCTGCCTCAGCCTCCCACTGTGCTGGAATTACAGGCGGGAAGCCATTGTGCCCTGCTGTGACTTCTTCCCCCTCACTCCAGACTGTTTTTTTAAATGGAGGAATTTAAGGAAAGGAACCCCTTGTAGGGCATTTCTCTATAATGCAGTATTTCTTTGAAGTTTCTGAAACTGAAACTCAGCTGCCTTCCCTCATACCTCATTAAATTTGATAAAAAATGGATCTGACTGTGGCTTCCTCCTCCTGTGGGCATGCATGACTGATCATTTTGATATATAGGGGTGTTACAGTTGGAATATTATCAAGGCTTACTTTGATCTGCTTTACCACTTGGCATATCTCCTAGGTGGTACTCCCTACCCCCACTCTAGAGCAGACTTCTCAGTGAAGTCTCAGTGAAGTTGTCAACATTTGCTGTTTCTACTTCATTTCACCACTTACCTCTCAACCCTCTCTGGTCTGGTATCTTCTGCTCTGCCCCCAAAAATGTTCACACTAAATGTAGTGGAAGTTTTTCAGTCTCTAGCTTGCTTGCCTTACAGTATCATTTCACATGGTTAACCCCTCCTTATTTTTAAAAATAATGTCTCCTTTGGTAATACCGCATCTCTCTGGTTCCCCCCCCCCCCCCCCACCTTTTTTTTTTTTTTTTGCTCATTATCCTCTCTCTGCCCTTCATAATGTTCTGTCAGTTTCTCTCCT